GCGATTGGATGGCCCGTAGCAGCTGGCCGTCAATCCCGTATGCACGAAGGCATGTCCACTGACTATTGCGCGGGATCCGACCATACGCTTTGTCTAGGCCCACAAATCACATGTACACCGGCTGGGCCTACTTCCACGATTTCGCAACAATCTGGCGCAGGGCAAATATATGGACAGAGGTGCTTCGACCGGGCGTAAGCCACACTGCCCTTCTTGGATCTTGAGGTCAACTATTTCACGGCACCCCTTTCTAACACCTTTGTGTAGACTTTACCTAGGAGGCTCAATAACCTTATGCCCCTATAACTGGAGCATTTCTTGTGGTCTCCTATCTTGAATACGCGTACAATAACTCCCGTTCTCCAGTCCGCTGGTATCTTGCCGGCAGTCATCGGGGAGGAGGAGGGTTGACAGACACGTGTTAGCCAATACATGCCTTGTTCGCCTAATGCCTTGAGTATCTCAGGGCAGATTTCGTCAATTCCGGCACCTTTTTCATTTTTCAAGCTTTTCACAGCCTGTGCAATTTCATCTACAGAGATAGTAATATCCGTACCCTTCTGCTCTGGCGAGACTTCCTGCTGTTGCGCGGGGTTAAGGAGTTCCTCAAGGCACTTCCTGCATCGCCGAGGAATGTCATCATCATTGGTAAGAGGGTGTCCAGATCTGTCTTTCAAGACTCTGAGACTGTCCGTCTTTTCACCTCGGAGACGACGGATGTTCTGCCACAATACTGTGTTTCCCTTGTGGAAATTCGACTCCAACACCTCACCGAACTTCTCCCAGGAATCAGTCTTTGCTTTTGCCACTGCTGTGGCTGCCGCCTTGCGTGCCTCGACATATCGTACGCGTGTAGATGGCTCCTTGTTTCCAAGCAATTTTTTGAACGCTGCTTTCTTCTCTTTAACTGCCAGTTGTACCTCTCGTGTCCACCACGAAGATCTTTTCTGATTCAAGCGGCAGGCCAACCCGTTTATAATCGCAGCATTCGGCGGCAGCCTCGAGTAGACCTTTCTTAAAGAGCTGCAACTCAGTTTCAACATCAGTTGTCATCACTGGGATCTGTTCAAGCCATCATGCGATGTGGTTTGCAAATTTCGCTCTTGTGTCCACCGAAGAGAATGTTTCCCATTTGATTCTCCGATTGCTTCTGCCACCAGATCTTCGTATGGTACTCCATTTCTTACAACGTAGCGTGCCAACAACAAGGTGATGATCGGTTGATAGCTCGCGCCTCTTTTAACGCGAACATCCGTTACTGACCGTCGTAGGTCAGACGATACGAATATCAAATCGGTCATCGATTCTGTGCAAAAGCTTCCCTATACCAGGTATACTGATGCACTCTTCGATGCTCGAAGGTATTCATAAAGGACAATCAGTTGTTTGTACAAAACCGCAACAACTTCATGCCGTTATTGTTGAGGTCGCTAGGGTCGTTTTTCCCAATCACGCCTTTCCACTTTTCAACGTCTACTCCGAAGTGCGCATTAAAATCTCCCATCAGTATGAGGGACTCTGTACTCGGCACTTCGGACAGAGCACACTGCACTTCCTCAAGGAAGGTCTCATATTCTCCTTCCAAATTGGGCGC